ATATATATATATATATATTGCATTCATGTCTTTGTTCTTTGTGAAAACATCAGTGGCTCTGTACCGTCGGCTGTCTCGTAGCACTGAGTGACAATGTTAAATATAAACTGGAAGGAATTTTAGAAGAAGTGGGCGTGGTATCTTGTTCCTGGAGGGATTTCCTCCGTTATTCGTCGAGGTTACCAATCGCCGAACATATTGATTTATAGATAATGCTCTAAGACTTGTATTCTGAAGGTACCTAGTTCGAAACTCGGACGAAACGCTAGCTACCCGACAGAAGGTTTTTGTGTGGTTTTCATCAGTCTCTCCAGACACACTTCTAGGGGCACGATTGCTTCCAGTTACTTCTCAGTTTGTCCTCAGTGTGACGCTCGATGCTGAAGTAAGCCGGGAGAATAACAGAACTTCAGAAAGTAGCGACAGGGAAACACGAAAGAAACACGTTGAAACACTTTATTATAGAGATAATTTAGCCAAATACGGCGAAGTTAAAATGTGATAAATTTACAATATTGTCGCGCGTTTCCTAGATAACGCGACAAGAAACGATGGGTTTCGGATTAGGAGAATGTTAATTGGACAATTATTTGTTTACACTCACAATTATGTCCACTCTCAGTAACGCCTTTCACGTTCCCTCTTCGACTCTTGCACGGCAATTCTCGGTGGAGCTTGCGTTCTCGGTTCTTCCCTTATAGCTCGCTGAATCGAATGATAAGTAAGAATCAGTGTTCAATCTAACCCTGCTTTATTAAGACTAACATTTCATACACAAAAGCGTTTTATATATATTCATTCACATAACCATGATAACACATAACAATAGAGAAATTCTGTTGTTACATAATCGTATTAACCCATAACAACAGAGAAATTAGGAACAGAGCATGTAGCGCAGTCTATTATTGAAAATTATTTACTACGATGTTGCCAAATCTAGCATTATATTGTAACATTAGAGTTGCCAACATAACAGTGTTCATTTTGCCCCCTATATAGGCTCGGCATGGACCTCCCACAGAAAACACATCGCTGCTTAGCGACGGATATCACGTATTGTTGTCAGGCGTGTCTACCCATGCATTGCCTAACAATTGACGCCCTACTGTTGCGCATTCGTTGCTGTGGGAACTCAACAATTCGGTCTCCGTTGCTTAAATATTTCCCTAGGCAACGGTCTGTTTGTTTCGTTGCCTAGGAATTGCTAGCCGTTGACCAGCAATGGTCGTCCGGCCTTCCTGGCGGAACGCCACAATATTAAGACTATAGAAACGAGCAGATTCTCGTTGTAACTAACTTCTGCATTTGGTTTATGAATCTGTCGCTATCCAGGGTGTGATTGTGGCTTTGAATAAAGGGGCTCATCAGACTATACCCTCTCCTCCTGAAGATGTAAAGAAAATACAGTTCCGAAATACTGTCATGCTTTCATGAGGTTGTTTAAGATGCGAACTCGAGGTGTACTGAGTGTGAGATATGGGCACACAGCTTTTGTTGAAATCCAAAAAATGGAAGAACCCTGCACCAGAGAGCAAGGCCAATTATTGTAGCATGTAGAACAGTTACTGGCTACCGACCTCGAAACAAACAATGGACCAACACCCGCTGCTACGCAACAGATTCTTAATAAGCCAGTATACGCAACCGTTACTGAGTAACGCCTTCACAAACAAACACATTTCCACGGAAAAAATTGTAGTACAACAATGAACGGTGTTTCTAGGCGGTCCGTGCCGAGATGTTATAACCAAGACGGGTTTGGAAGTTCGGTACAGAAAAAGATGTAAGAGAATCTGGGAAGAGAAGACTTATTCGGTGCAGCTGAGAATAGAACCTGAATCTCAACTGTTAAGAACCGTTACCGGGAAACGACTAGTGACAGCATACTGAGGGCTTATCGCGGGCTGTAGTGATTTGTAAAGTGTGGAGATCAGAGATGGCGCTATAATTAAGTGTAGTCAAGAGTCGTTTGTTAAAGTGGTAAATAAATCCAATCCAAACCCCGTCTATAACCACTCCCTCACGTGACAATATGCTACACAAATTAATATAAAGCAAGTAGGTTTTGAGGATATCAATTGCTTTGAACCAATTGAAAGAAGAATGTAATATCTGCTTCTTTGCGATGACGTAGGATTTTCGGGTTCGTTTACAACAGGGTAAATTCCTTCTGAGGCTTTACGATACTTAGGGAAGAGAACTGTGTAAAACAGGGTCAGTTTATAGGCCTGGTTAGTATTCTAGGCTTAATGTAGTAGACTTAAAGAGTCCTAGGCTTAGCATTTTAGAGGTTTAAAGGAAGTGACATGCGGTTGGGGAGAAAGTGCATGAGGAGCTTAATAACAAGGGTCATTCCGTGGCGACAGTTCCAAAATAACCGGTGGCTCCATGTTTGTGTACGTCAGATTCGATGGGATATACAATACTCACATTTGATAATGTGTAAAACATACAATTTCGATAGGAAGTAAAATACGACAATAAGAGGAGGTACAACAATACCAGTTTAGCAAGACCTTGTGCCGAATGATCACAGATGGCGGTTTAGTCAGGGCTGTCAAGCTTACTGTTGACTTCCCTGTTAGCTTAACATTGGCAGAGGGGTAACCCGTTACAGAATGTGACTCATGTCACTTGACAGCCGTTTAGTTGGTCAAAAAATTACCGCCTTTCA